GCCGAGGTGCGAGGCGGAGCGGGGGTCGGGGCCCGACGCGTCGCCCTCCGAGAGCCCGGCGGCCGAGCGCGGCCCGGAGCTGGGCGCCGACGAGGAGCAGCCGGTCCCGTACCCGGCGCTGGCGGCCACCGTTTTCTTCTGCCTCGGGCAGACCACGCGGCCGCGCAGCTGGTGTCTCCGGCTGGTCTGTAACCCATATCCTTTCAGGGCCGGCGGGGTGCGGGGGTCCGGGGCGCAGGACCCTCTCCACGTGCGTCCCACGCGCCCCGGCTCGTTGGCGCTGGCGCGGTCCAGGCACACTGGGGTGTAGGTCAGGGGCGCGCGGGCTGCGCTCTTCCGAGAGGTGGTCCTGGTGCGAGCTGTTGAGGGGGTAGTAGGAGTGCTTCTCTCGACTTGAATAGGGTGTCCCCGTTACAGAGCCAGCTGGGAACGGAGGAGGGTGGAAGACAACCGGCCAGGCCACCGCGGGATTGCAGAGGAGAGGAATCGGCAGGGAGGGCTGGAACTCCTTGCGCCCCGGTGGATGGAGGCCAGGACGGGGAGTCTCGCGCGCCCCCCCCCCCCCGCGCGCGCCGCTTACTGAACGACTGGTCTGAGTCAGGACCCTCCCTGGGGAAGGGGAGGCCGGAAGGAACTGGAGTAAGGGAAGTAAAGTTTTCAATCTGTGCCTTGCGCCGCGGAGACCCGCGGGGGCCTGCGAGAGGTGCTGGGGTTCGCTGGTCCTTTTCCACGGAGAGAGGCGGTGACGTTGGTTGTGAACTCGCTCTTCCAGGCTGAACTCGGGTGCTGGTGCTGATTTAAGTCATGCGCAGCTGGAGGGTGGGGGGTAGGGAGGTGTCTGGCACCGCACACTGGAGTCCCTTCTGCCCAGTCCCTTCCCTGGCTGGAGAAGAAGGGGCCGCCCTTTCTGCTCCTGGTGAGAAGGGTGCAGACATTCAGAGAAGGTTCCAGAACAGAGTTGGGTCGGTGCCAGGGGCATTTCTGGGATGCCTACAGAGGTCTGGTGGTCTCCTGAGTAGGTGGCCTTTGGGGACTGTTCAGCAGGCTCTGAGAAGGGCATTGCCCTGTGTCTGTGTCCCAGCTGGTCCTACCCACTGGCCCCTCAGAGCTGGTGGCCAGAGTGGCTGGTCTGTGGGTGCGATGCCTTCCTGCCCCTTGGCCTGGGCCTGGGTGTGAGTGGTGGGTGGCCTGGGGAGAGAAAATTGACTCAGTGCCTGAAAACTTTCCTGTCAGAGTTCAGGAGACAGACAGAGGCAAAGAGCAGTGTGTATATATATTTTCCTACCTTGTGTGTTTAACTGTATAAATATTAAATACAAAGGAGGAATCTGTACCAAAAAAAGTAATAAAACCCGTGTTTCTCTTCTCTCAAATCCAAACATTGGGTGAGTCAGCTTCACGTCTGCATGTAAAGGGGGCCGCTGTGGCCAGAGGGTCGTGGCCGTGGCCGTGGGGCCTGCATGTGGGCTCGGCCCAGGCCGCCTTGTCCGAGGATGGTGTCTGTGGCGGGTGGGCATCCTCGGGGGCTGGAGCTTGGCCCTGGCAGCAGGAGCGGGGATGACCTTGTAGGGTGGCTGGAGGTTGGTCTTCCCTGCAGAACGGAGATGGGAGATGACCCAGCCACTGTCTTTTAGCGGGAAGGTGGTGTGGCCGGGTGAGGTAGGGGCACCCAGGCGGTTCCGGCAGATTCTGGGGACGGGAGGAGAGGCCATCCCTGTGCCAAGCCTGTGCTGACCAGATAGGGGAAAGAGCCGTGTGGAGCCTGGACTTTCTCTGTCCTGACAGCCCTTATGTCTGGCCGCTCTGTTCCCTCGTGGCTGATGGAGTTTTTGAGCCTGACCCTGGTGTTCTGGGTTGGCTGTGTCTCTGAGGACTTGCAGCGAGGTTGTTTGTGTTGCTCTGTGCAGGGATGGTGGGGGCTGGGCAGCCTCACGCAGCTGGATTGAGCTCTTGAGGGGCAAGGGGCTGGCAGTGCCCTGAGGCCAGAGCCCCTATTCCTGGGCTCTTTCATGACCTGAAGAGGAGGATGTCCTGTGGCCATTCTCCTCTATGGAGAGGGCTGGAAGGTACTGGAGAGCTTTCAACCAGGAAGAGCAAGCTGGCCCCATCCCTGCAGCTGGGGCCATCCGCTGGTGTTCCTGGGGAGCCCCTGGTAGGTGGAGGAGCGTCCGCCTGCCCTCGGGCAGCATCCCTGGGCCGGAGCTGCAGGTCTCCCTAGGAAGCCCCTCTACGCACCCACCCTCCTTGTCTTGGGCTCTCTGAGGCACAGTTTGATTCACCCACCCCCCCAGAACCAGTGATTTGGAGTTCCCTTGATCCCTTCTGCACGAGCTTGGGGAAGCATTGTAGGAGGACCTTAGATCCCAGGATCCTGTTACTCTTGGCCCCGTGGAAACCCTGCATCTGTTGAGCGGGGTGGCTTGTCAGAGCCCCCAGCCACGTGGGACGGGTGCTGACCTCCAGCAGATGCCAGGCCCTGGCGTGGGGGTGGGTGTCGGGCCTCAGAAAGAACCTAAAATAAGCTGGCACGCCTGGACAGGTGGGGGGATTGGCTTACGCAGGGAAAGCCCGTGTGGGCCACGCCGAGGCTTTCCAAAGCTCTTCAGATTCCTGGAGTTGGGAGGGGTGGCTTTGTGCGAGCAGGCGGTCGGTGTGGCTGGGGTTCTGCTAGGCACCATGGGGTGTTCTGTAGCAAGCGGGTGCTTCCTGGGGTCTTGGTTTCCCCTGCAGGTGGATGTGGTGTCGGCGGGCCCTTTGTGCTTCCCACAGAGGATAGACTTGAGAGGGAGGGATAACGGGATTTGCTCAGGGAACACACACTCAGGAAAGCAGCTCCTCGCTCCCTGGAGGCTGGCAAACTCCCTGCTGACATCCGCCGAGCCCAGCCCGTGCTGGGATTCGATCTGCAGTTGGTACACAGAGGAGGACCTTCTTCAAGCCTTGGCCTTTCTGGAGGTCCCAAATAGATGGCCCGTGCATGAGTGAACACACGGGTTCTGGTTTTGCCTTGGAGGTGATTCCGATCCAAGGTGAAGGAGCTTCTGAGGATGGCCCTCATCCTTATTGATTTACTTTGCTTTTTAAAAATATAATTGTGCTAGAACTTTTGGGGCGAGTACTGTTTCTCCTACACAGGTTTATTTATAGAGAAAGGTGGGTGGGATCTGTGTGTTGTAGCCCGCATGGCTGGGTTATGTTCTGCCCGGGCTCCCCCAGGGTTCTGACTCCGTGCTTGCCTGCGAAGCAGCTGCCGGCATCCCAACACTCCGGCAGGCGGGGCTGTCCAGGAATGCTCGGAGGCCGGGAGGGGGACCCTACCTCAGTCCCCGTGTTAGCGAGGGAAGCAGATTGCGGTGTTAGGGACCAAAAAGGGGCACTTGGGGGCTTGGGGATGGTAAGGTCCCTGGGGGGCGTCCGCCATGGGCCTGGCACCAAGTACCCCATGTGACAGGGCTCTGAGAGGATGAAGGACCTACCAAGGTCACTTGGCTGCTGAAGGGCAGAGCTGGGTTGAGCCCAGCCTGGCTCTGAAGTCCATGAGTTTGTCATGACCCAGCTGGAGCAGGGGTGCATGGCTGGACGAGTCTACATCAGTCCCTAATGGCATCTTTTAAAAATTGACGCTATCCTGCTCTCACACTGCTCCATGGCTGCTGCCGGTGCCCAGGTGGCTGTGGGCATCCCAGTGAGGACTCACAGTGCACTGGTCTGGAAAAGGCCAGTCCCGGCTTTCCGGGCCCCACCTACCCTCCCCGTCTCCCCTATAGACCCATGTAGATGGGACGGGAGTTCGTCCTCACCTCTTCGGTTTTGTGTCACGTGGACTCTTGAGCACTGCTACGAATCACCCATCTTAGCAGTTTCAGGACATCCAACCCGGCTGTCAGAGGGGTGGCCTTGTATGCGGGAGGTCACAGGACCAGGTGGCCCCCGCTCCATCCTGCGACTCTGTGGGCTGAGCCCTGAGCTGGGATCACCCAGGAGGGTGGGATTCTTTGCTCGGTGCCAGTGCCACTCCCCTGGCCTGGAGAGGTTTCCTCTCTCCCTTCTGGAACCTTGCCCGTCCTTTGGGAAGTATCCTTCATGGCTCAGGGGAAGGCTGCTTCCAAGCCCCCATCTCCACCCAGGTACCTGCCAGATAGCCTGGGCCATCTCTTTGGGTGTCAACCTTCATCTGTTTTCCTGGACCCAGGGCAGCAGCCATCTCCCCACAAGTCAAGAGAGGGGCTCTGCAGAGGCTCCCTACAGACCGAAGTCCATCCTTCCCTGGGTAGAATTATGGGATGTGAAAGCAGAGGGGGTTGCCCCAGTCCGGAGGCCTGGCTTCTCTCAGCTGTGTGTCTGTCCTGGCACCCTGGCACTCCATCCCCCCAAGCAGCCAGGCCAGCCTCCCCCAGGCTCTGTGACAGGGGGAGGAGTGGGGGAGGCAGTGGCGTGAGTTACAGGCACAAGTGCCCATAGGTCTCTGAAGCCAGTGACCAGCACTGTGGCATTCCGAGGGTCACTGCCCAACAAGGCCCTGGGCAAGTGCTGGTCTGCATTCAGCACCTACTGTGTACCAGGTGAAGCACAGGTGTGTTCTCTGCCTGTGGGACTCCTCTCAAAGTAGAGGCAGGCAGCCCCCACACCCGCATAGGTGATACTGTGGGGACGGAAGGTCAGGGCCAAGAAAGGAGTGCTGGGGGGTTTCATGAGGAAGAGGCATTTCCACTGATGGGCGGAACTCACCTCCTTACAGGGGCATTGGGAAGAGGCCCAGGCGTGCGTCTCCCGGAGCGGAGGTCCACTGAGCAGTCGTTGGCAAGTCGTCAGCTCCCACTTCAGGGAGACACTGGTGCCACGCGATGTTGCCTCTCCTGTCTTGTGGGAATGGGCACAGTGTTGGCGTGCCTGAGCCCTGCAGAGGGGCCATAGTGACACGGGCCTCAGTCCCCAAGAAGGAGGAGACCAAGCTGGGGTCCAGAGCAGGTGGGCCCTAACAGGAACCATCCCAACTCCCGGACCCGCTTCTGAGGCTTGGGGCTGGTGGGGTTGTGACCTTCGTGCCTTTGGGACTTGCTGACAGTCCCTGTGCTGGCTGCGTGAGGCACAGGTGGACCAAGCCCTCATGGTACCCCTGGTCCAGGTCCTGCTGAGGACCGTGTGCGGGGTTGTCCCAGGTCTCGCAGGCCTTGACTGTGGCTCTCTCACTCAGC